CCAGGGGACTTCCCCCCCCCCCCCGCCTGAGGTGGTCCCCTTCACTCTCCATTATTCCTCCTTATAAGGTGGGTGTGGGGTTGCCAGCCCTTTAGAATTGTTCTGGAATCACCAGGAATTAAAGATTCGTTCTTTAATTAAAGATAATGTCATGTGATGAAACCCCCCCAGAATATTTCCAACCAAAAGTGGCCACCCTTGGTCAGGAGCCAGAATGAGCTGCAGCTATTATTGCTGGTGGAACAGCCCTTAGGGAGCCAGAACATAGGTGGGTGTGGGGTTGCCAGCCCTTTAGAATTGTTCTGGAATCACCAGGAATTAAAGATTCGTTCTTTAATTAAAGATAATGTCATGTGATGAAACCCCCCCAGAATATTTCCAACCAAAAGTGGCCACCCTTGGTCAGGAGCCAGAATGAGCTGCAGCTATTATTGCTGGTGGAACAGCCCTTAGGGAGCCAGAACATTAGAACACATTGGAAGGAAAGCAGTACTTAGCAGAACAGAAGGTACAGGAGATACAGATGTGGCAAAAATCTCCTTTGGGCCTCCTTTAGTCATTCCTGCACACATTGAACTTGGGAGGAACAGAGATCTTGGCCCATTTTCAGAGGAATAACTCATTCTGAATTTACATTAATACTGTAGGGTGTCCTAGTTTTAGCATATATAACTCTCAGAAGCCATAGTACCAAATACTATCTGTGGCCAGGGCCATATCTTTTCCTTCTTATGTGAAGTTGCACAATATGAATACACTTACCTTCAATGCTATGTGACCTCTAGTCTCCTATTGATTTCCCATGCAGAAGGTGGGGCAAGTGATGGCATGGAATGGCCATAGTCTATGATTTCTTAAACCCAGGGCTGTGAGTTCAATCCTTGAGGGGGCCATTTAGGGATCTGGGACAAATCTGTCAGGGATGGTACTTGGTCCTGCTGTGAGGACAAGGGACTAGACTTGATGACCTCTCAAGATCCCTTTCAGTTCTATGAGATAGGTATATCTCCATATATATATATAGAAACAGTGGATGTAAAAATTGGTAGGAAAAGAGTGCAAAAATGAGACCCAGCTATAGCCATTCTAGACCTCTTCACTCTTGGACCCAAAACAATAAAGGAGAGATCCTTCCTCCACATACACACACTAGTTCTGGGGAAATCTATAGCTAGGATAGTATCTCCTTTCCCTCCTGCTATAGCGCCTGCAGAGGTAGCCAAAGCAGGGACCAATAGCCTCCCCAGGAATTGAAATTAAAGAGGGTGTTTGAATTTACAAGGGGGGAGGGTGTCAGGGCCGATGAGGGGTGAGACCTTGAGGGTGAAGGTGGGCTGTATGGCACCATAGTTCACAAAACTGGGGGGGTGTTGGGGAAATTCAGGGGGGGTATACACCCCCCTGGGGGGGGGTATAAGGAAATCCCTGGCAGGGACCTTTGCGTACAGAGAACATCCTATAGTTTTTTTTATGGCAATATCTTTTCCCTGTGCGGATTTGGCTGTTTTCAACTCTCCTTATACTTCTTCCTCACAGTCTCCTTATTTCAGTTTTATTCCACATTTGCTTCTCTTCTCTCCTGCCCTGTCCTCCTCACCCTTTGCCTTTTCAGTAAGGAAGTTAAGTATCAGGTAATTGATCGGGTAGTCGATAGGGCACTTCCACCCTAGGGCTGTTGCTACACTTCAAAGGTGCTCCTGGGCTCCGCATGACACTGCTGCTTTAAAATGCCATGGGAAGCCCGGTGTCAGGCTCCTCACGGCATTTCAAAGTAGAAGCGCCGCACAGAGTCTGGGTTCAGTCCCCATCTGATCCCGGGCTCCATGCAGAGCTGCTGCTTTGAAATGCCACAAGGAGCCTGACATCAGGCTCCCTGCAGCAGTGCCACATGGAGCAGCTGAGCCAGGCTTCATGCAGCGCTGCCACTTTGAAGTACCCCTCTCTTCTCCCCACTTTTGCTGTCTCTGATAGAAGCAGCAAGGTGGGGGGGAAGTGACTAGTCGACTATCCTATAAGCATTTGCTTATCAGATAGTCGACTTGTTGACTAGTCCTTTGCATCCCTACACTTCAGTGTCTCCCTTTCCTTTCCTTTTATTTTATTTCCATTTAACTGATTTCCTACTAGCCAAACTATCCCCCTCCCCCCCCGCCTTGGTGGAATTAACATGCCATTTGCTGCCTTCACATTGGTCCCAGGTAGAGTGAAGAGGTGGATGTGGGGTCCAAGACTATGGCCTAATCACTTTTAAATATGGTGTAGGTAAGAGGGGAGATTCTCCAGTCAAGGAAGACTTAGGATCCCTATGGGAGGAGAGGGGTGGATGAGTAGGGACAAGAATGGCTGAGGGAGGAAAAAGGAACTAGAATTTCCTATCCCCACCATAAAATATCTGAACTGATGTCACTGTTCTGTCCATTCTGCTTGTGTGTTCTACCCCGTGCTGTATGTCTTTTCTAGTTATTTTGTGTGCCCTTCAGGGCAGGAAATATTTGCTACTACTCTGTGGCTGTGTAGTGCCTATCACAATGAGGAGGTACCGATCTTAGTTGGTCCTTATGCACTACTACTACTGTAATAAATATGATTAATAATACAAGAAGCTAGTCAGTGTGCATATTACTAAGTGTGCATATTACTAAGTGTTTTAATTCCTGAAACTGGTAGCATGGCTGCCTCAGATGTTGTCATGTTGTCATTTACTGCAAGTGCATTTATGAGGTTCAGAGTATGTAACTTAAGTTAACACAGCTATGTTACCCAACACAGATTTTTCCATCATAATTTCTGATGGCTGATTAGGAGGAATGAACCAGATACAGTGAAGAAGAATCATGCCCAACATCTTTTGTTTTTTTTAAAATATCCCATCAGGAAATGATAATGCTAAGGTTATTTGACTTCAAACATGTATTTATCAGAAAAAAATTGTTTTAAATCTGATTATGTTTTTTTAAGGTTTATTAATTCTCCAAAGTTTAGGAGATTTTTGTAATTTAGATATAAAGTAATAATGTACATAAATCAGAGTACATTTTGTAGTGGGTCAGTATGTAAGTATGACAAAAGGTGATATCAATCATATACTAATATAAACTAATAAAGATGCTTGTTCTGAATGTCATTTCTGAAAACAAAAATACTTATTGTTCTGACAGTACATGGTTCATGATGCCTTTAGCTGTACTAAACTTTTGTATATACGTATTTACTGCTGCTCATAATATAAATATGAAATAGTCTCAGTATTGCCAACCTCGAGAATTCAGAAATCATGAGACTGGCTTATATATCATGAAGTCTTTTTAAAAAAAAATGTGTAGGTTTTTTAATATTTTTTCTTCTGGTTTCTGAGACTTTCAGATGTACTTGTATCACATTTTCAAGCTTTGTCTACAGTATTATGAGAGAGAGAAACTTTTTAAAGAAAGCTGAGATTCTCATGCAATATTTTGATTCCAACAGCAGGGACAAAATCATTAAATATTATCAGAAAAATCACAAGAGTTTGAAACACTGTCGTTTAAAATACTTATTACTGTAACATTTTTATTGTCAGTATGAAGAAACCATTATTATGCACAGAAGAGGAGCTAGTTTAATGTAATGCTTTTGGAAGTCATCTATTCATAAAGTAAGGAGAGCATAAGCACAAGCAATGATGATCTCTTGAAAGAGGTAGTGTAACAATTTTTGTTCTGTCATTTCTTCAAAGGCATTATAATAAAGAGAATTCAGAAACCTGTATTGGAATGATGTAATTTAAAAAGGAAGTCAAATCTACTTTTAAATACGACATTTTCTTTATACTTGCTCTAACATATATTCTGTATAAATGTTTAGACTTTACATTGAGGGGAATATGTGTTTCTTCATTTTGTTTTCAGACTTGTTTGGGAAATGTCATTCAGATATCATATATTGGAGCACTTTTGCTCTTCCTCAGCTGTGGTACTGGCGGACTGAAGCAACTATTAACTTAATATACTCCCTCCTGCACTTAGGGATGTGACCAGGTAATTGACTTGCCCTAGCATGTGTCACAGTTTCTTTTCAAATAATGATGTGGCTGATCTTTAAAAAATAGTCTGTCATATGCTAGCTATGGGGACTTTGGAATCTTCGAGAATCACTTCCAGAAGAGTTACAGACTGCCACTCTTTATGAGGATAAGTCTAAGTATTCTCTAGTTTAAACAGATCTTAAAAGTTTTTATTTAATGTCCGAAGTTGAACTGAAACTGGGTCTCAGAAGATACAGTAATGCTACATCCACTAAGAAACTCAGTCTTCGTGACTTTTGCACATCCTCAATCAAAGAATGTAGCAAGTTTCTCTTAGGTAAGCAGGATTGGTCTGTGGTTAGGTGCCAAAGCACTTCAAAATCAATTTTTGTTCACATTTGTTTACTGCTCTTGCTCTTAACATGCTGTCTGTCTTCCTTTCATTGCTGCAACTCACTCTGATGTGGTTTGCAGAAACTGTAGGAGTCATCGTCCATACCTATTGTATTCCATGCATTTTATTTGTTCAGCACAAAACTGGTGTAACATAATAAACATTGCTGGCATTGCATTATATTTTTTGACAGAAAGTTAGTAGTTTGACATTTTAAAGCAAGAGAACATGAGATCAGGTTTAGTATTTACTGGTGTTTTAATAAACAGATGTCATTTTATTTTTCTTTCTAATGCTTAAGGTAAGACCTAGCAAATATATATGAATCGCAATAATTTTATGCAAAGGCCTTGCTCTCATTCTTAAGTGTCTGTAAAGCTGGGGCCTTAGATTGAAATGCAGTACTAGTATGCATTTTAATTTTCTTAGTTTTTCTGTTTGCTAATGCTCTTAAGAAAAGCTAGAGACTGTAGAAGACAATTCACAGCATCACGAATTGTGTAGGAAGAAATTCCAGTTCTTTGTTGCTAAGGCAAATTAATTTAGACATATTTGGATATGATGTTCAAAAATGTTTTTGTGTAAATAAGCTGAAGTAATACACCACTTAAGTGAGAAGGACTATGAATGTATTTAAAGCAAAGCACATGTTCAGTTGTTTTGCTGGATCAAAGCTATACTGCTGATGGCACTTGCATTACAACTTCTGCATTTTGTATAGATTACTGATTAACACACATGGTATTTGTGTCCCAGAAACCACACAGAAAAATCGTAAGTGTCAAAGAAGGTTAAGGCTGACATTTTCAGAGCCATGTAAGTGTTTTTGGATACACAATACAGATTAATACTCCAGGCATACTGGAGTTTTCATTATTGGTATACACATCCCATAGGTAGCTTTGAAAATTTCAGCCTCAAATTATAATGAAGTAAGTCCACTGGACTTAGTCTTGTTTGAAGTTGACAGTAAAGTTCTAATTAGTCATGCAGTTCAGAGGTAGCAGAGAAGAGCAGCCATAAGAAGCAGGTTGCAGCAACTTGCATCCTGTGGTGGGAACATTAGGCTGCAATGTTAACTAGTGTATATACTGTCCTCTTTTTTTAACTTTGCTTGAGTGTGAAATGTGGGAGCAGAGGAGGCATACTGGAGTTTTAAAATCACACTTCTCAGTATCTCAGAAAGGTTTGGGTGTGCTTTGGTTCGGGGAGATGGATCAAGGGGTAAAATAAGGGGCTCTCATGTTGTTTCCTCATTCCTATCTTATATACTCAGGACAGGATCTGACCAATACTCTGACTGAACCCCAGACTCTCTTCTGTATTAAGGCCCCTTTCATACTACTCTGGCAGTGTAAAGGGGTCTAAGTTTAAGTGAGAATCAGGCACACTATTTTGCCCAATTACACATCAGAATACTTTAGCAAGAAGGAATTGAGTCTCTCTACAACAGAGAAGAGGAACAGTAATGATTCTTATGTGCTCACTTTTGTCTGGTTATGGCTATTCCAAAGCTTTCTAAAGCTTTATTTAATCCATGTGTGCCCTTCTGGAGAAGGCAGAGGGCAAAAGACATATGGATGATGATACAGTTTCACCCAAGATTGTCTCTAGCATTCAGAGATCACACAAGCGGAGTATGAGTGCTTGATACACCAAGGTTGAATTACTTCCTTATGTCATTGTGACAGTGATGCTCTGCTCACCACTGGGGTACCACTTGGTGGTCTTGGCTGGGGATTAGTTCTGAAAGTCTAAAACCCCTTCCTAAGCTCATCCATACACCCTGCCACTTACCTTTCTCTCTTTGCCACTCAAATGCTCCCTTCCTGACTTGATGTCTCCCTTTTTGTGGCATTGCCCTCCATCCAGATCACTGTAGTTTTCCCCTTCCAGGGGTCCCAGAGTCCCACTGGTCAACCATTCCGGGCAATCTTCTGCCCTGTTACCCAGTCTACTCCGTACCACTTCTCCAGTGGTCAGTAGGCAAACCCAGGTCTGCCCTCTACTAGAGGCTCCAGTCCAGGGACTCTACAATGAGCCGCCAAGGTACGCTTAATCCCAGAACATGGTACTGTTTCCCTGAGCACCTCCTACTTGCCTCTGTCAGGCTCTTCCTCCAACCTCCCCTCAGAGCCAGCATCCGAGGACTTTTCGTCTCCTACTGTTTCCTCTTTTCCTTCTCTGTGACTAGAGGGTAACTTGTGGCATCTACACTACACTTCCTTCAACTTCTAACTTCCTGGCTTTATCATAACACTTCCTGTTCCTTCTCAGCTGGGCTCCCTTCACAGTCAGGGGTTGCTTATCCAGCCTAATTCCCCTCAAGTGTAGCTTGTCAAGGTAGTTGCTCCCCCACAAGCCTTATTAACCCTTTCAAATTTGGTATGGGATAAATATCCCATCACAGCTGTCCATTTAAACTGATTACAATACTGAGGTCCCAGAATGTTATACAATATCAAACTTTTTATATAATTCAGAATTTTTATAAATCAGAAATGTCAGAGCTGCAAATTGTAATTAGGGCAGATGAGCTCTCAGGTAATAATCAGCAGGCTATCCCCCTTCCCTAGTTCCCAGAGTGTCATCTGCTCTCATTTTCAATAATGGCTACATACAAAGCACATTAATGCTTCTATCTTCTCTAACTCTTCACTGCAGGCCCCAGGCTGCTCTCCCGTTCTATGAATCACTAAATGCAGATTATCAGTCTCTTCTCTCCAAGTTTGCACTGCAGTTGTTGCTAGTGCAGCTCCTACTGTTGTAGAGAGGTTACTCTGAAATTACCTTCAATAGCAAAATAAAAACACATACGCACTAGGGAAGTTAAATTTCGTTTAATCAACTAATTGACTAGTCGATTTTCCATAGACTAGTCGATTAGTCTAAACTCTATAAGCAGGAGAGCCGCAGTGGGATTAGCTCCTGGAGGAGCTAACCCCACTGTGGCTCTATGCCTTTTAATTGCATTGAGAGCCTTTTAAATGTATTGTATTAAAAGCGCTGTTGTCATTCTGGTGTCAGGCGCATGCCGTTCCTGTGCACCTCAAGCAGAACATAGACCAGGACCACACATCACAAAACTTGTTACTCTATGAGTAACCAGTCTCTTCCATGCCTCTAGTGTCTTCACGTCTGTGTCCACTAGAGCACTTCTTACTGAGTTCTCAACTACAGTCACTTAAGTTTGGGAAGGAATTTTTTACTGGTATCAGATTGGCAGAGGCCTTGGTATTTTCTGCCTTCCTCTGCATTGAGAAGTTATGTGCACGTGACTGAGGTCTGTGCATCCCTTACAACTACATAGGCAGGCTGAACATTTGTCTATAAATTCTGAAGATGTTTTCCACCCTCCTGTAGGTTTAAGGTTTCTAAAATTAGGTATTAGGAGGAGTAGGATCCCTGCCAAAATGTGGCATAACAGAGAATTCTTAAGAATTCATAAATGCAGTTGGAGAAAACACCATGTTTCTGAAAATGAGATCAGGACTATGACAAAGGCAATCAAATGTTTTGCAGCAAAACAAATTAATATATCAAGTCATAGAAAATAATATTTAATCTAAGAAATATTATAATTTGAAATGGAGGAGTTAATTTAAGAGTAGTTTCTCCAGTCACTGAATGACTATGCAGCAACATTTAAAGAATCACATACACAATTTTTAAAATGGAAGCCTGAGGAAGAATGACTTACTATTTTTGCATGTTTAGTGAAATAAACTTTTCAAGGATAGGCTATTTCCCTGAGAAATACAAGGGAGACCTCTGGTGACTAGATATGGTATTTTTATATATCAAATTTACTCTGCTCCAATCTGGAATTTATCTTTTGAGTCAATGTTCGCTGACATAGACATACTAAACACATGTACACACAAACTCCAACCCTGGCATCCCCATGACTTGATTTATGACTTTATTCTAAATTTTCCATTAAACTTCTATTGCATCAGACGCTCATGAGGGAGGGAATGATAGAGCACTATGATACTTCTCTTATCAGATAATACAGTAGATGTAGTTAGCGTTGGGGAAATTAAAATGAAATCGGAAGGGAAGAAAGAAAACCTGCAATAAAAGTACAAAGACACCACATTGTAAATCCTGTACCAAAAGGAGGGAACAAAATAATGTTGGGGGATTGTTATGAGGTTCTTCCATTCCCTCTTTGAGCTATTTTAATTAAAACAATTATTATAATGACACATTAATGACCTATAGTGAAGATTGTACATTGCTTTCTATTTAAAAGTCAACTCTTCTAAGCCTTCTAAAATCTGCATGCTTACTCAGATTATCTTATCATTTGCTGTGCCCTGTGGGGACTGATAAAATGTCCACTGGTGTTTATCACATGTTATTCTGCAATGCCTACAACGTGGAAATGACAGTCTCAGCTTATGGAGTGAGGATGCAGGTTGGAGCATAGTCAGACCCTGCACCCTTCTCCAGATGAGTGTCAGGATGTTTTTTCATGTTTGGAAGAAATCTGACACTGCGAAGCACTGCGAAGTGTGACAATTGTGGTGAATTCTGTGATTCAGAATGGATAACACAAATCCAGTGTTTCTCAACCAGTGGTACGAGTACCCTTAGGGGTCCTTGAGAGAAAT